GAGCTCCGCGAGGTTTCTGTGATTCTCTGTAATATATGGTTATATAAGACTCATGTTGCCCTCAACAACATCAAGAGGTTTCTGTTGTCTACATAAACTTAGTGTCCTTTAATGTTATGGTTCTTAATGACGTCAGATTCTGATAGGTTCCCGATGTTTCAGCAACTTCCGGTTTTGTTAGTTCTTGTTGCCCTGACAACTGCCAGTCCTTTGTGACTAAGAACGTCCTATAAATCACAGTACTTAAACATTAAATAGAATATGGTGTTTATAAAACTTTTTATTAATTATGAAAATGAAACAATAAAAGGATGATTTTATTATAGGTTGTAATGAAACGGTCATTGAAATGTTCCTTCAGAATGTTGTAATATTTAAGTATGTTTCCGAACCCTAAGATTGCACAGATAGATCACACCAATGTACCCAGGGTGACCTTCTGGTAACGTCACACTATGGTGTGGATTACCGATCAGATGTCATGATGAATCAGCTCGCTTTAGACAAATTGGAGACATACGAATACACGATACATCCATTATGTTTTCTGTTGTCACAGTGACTTTCATTAATAGTTCGCTTTAAATTAAACTATCAAAATAAGAGGTATTGTATACGTTTAAATTGGACGCTACCAGCATAATATACCTAGACACCCCAGTGGCTAACCAAGTCTTTCCCAGTGGGTCATTTGCTTTGGTATAAATGACGCGGTGTAATTGTTTTCTATTTTCAATCTCCTGTGTTCGCTGCTTCATTTCCTACTCAATGATTTCATCTATAAACTTGCCGCCCTCGTGTATCTATCTGTTTGTTCATTACTAACATCGTCAGCAAATCTTATTCTGTTTAGTGTGTTCCCTTCATTGTAGGTATAAAGGAAAGGTCCCAAGTGTTTGCCAAAGCACTCTGGGTAAACAATTTTAAGACGTACAATTACTGAGTGTGGTGGGGCTGAAGCCGTGTTAGGGGATAGAAAGCTGTCTGGGCAGCCTAGACACTGGACGACGTGAGCACCAAATACCCAGGGTTACTTATCAATGAACACATATGAATGGTGCAAGATTACCAATTTATCACATCATTGTCGATATCCCCGTGAAGAAAGTATGTGTCCCTTGTTTCAAGTTTATGTTAATTTGTTTCTTCGCATATTGTCCATTGCATCTGATAGAACCTTAATAGCATTTCTATTGAGATCGATAATTAGTAACTACGTAAAATGGCTTTGCTAAATCGATGTAACAAAATTCCCCTCTTCCAAGACGCCTTGTGCTAGTAGCTATTCATTCTAGTTGTACTTCCAGCTTCCTACCCTCCTTGTCCTTCCAGCTTCCTACTTCCACCTTGTCCTTCCAGCTTTCTACCCTCCTTGTTCTTCCAGCTTCCTACTTCCACCTTGTCCTTCAAGCTTCCTACTTCCACATTGTCCTTCAAGCTTCCTACCCACCTTGTCCTTCCAGCTTCCTACTTCCACCTTGTCCTTCCAGCTTTCTACCCTCCTTGTTCTTCCAGCTTCCTACTTCCACCTTGTCCTTCAAGCTTCCTACCCACTTTGTCCTTCCAGCTTCCTACCTACCTTGTCCTTCCAGCTTCCTACTTCCACCTTGCCCTTCAAGCTTCCTACCCACCTTGTCATTCTAGCTTCCTACTTCCACCTTGTCCTTCCAGCTTCTTGCCCTATTTGTCCTTCCAGCTTCCTACTTCCACCTTGTCCTTCCAGCTTCCTACCCACCTTGTCCTGCCAGCTTCCTACTTCCACCTTGGCCTTCCAGCTTCTTGCCCTACTTGTCCTTCCAGCTTCCTGCTTCCACATTCTCCTTCAAGCTTCCTACCCCCCTTGTCCTTCCAGCTTCCTGCCCTCTTTGTCCTTCCAGCTTTCTACCCTCCTTGTTCTTCCAGCTTCCTACTTCCACATTGCCCTTCAAGCTTCCTACCCTCCTTGTCTTTCCAGCTTCCTACTTCCACCTTGACCTTCCAGCTTCTTGCCCTACTTGTCCTTCCAGCTTCCTGCTTCCACCTTGTCCTTCAAGCTTCCTCCCCTCCCTGTCATTCCAGCTTCCTACTTCCACCTTGTCCTTCCGGCTTCTTGCCCTATTTGTCCTTCCAGCGTCCTACTTCCACCTTGTCCTGCCAGCTTCCTACTTCCACCTTGTCCTTCCAGCTTCTTGCCCTCTTTGTCCTTCCAGCTTCCTACTTCCACCTTGTCCTTCCAGCTTCTTGCCCTCTTTGTCCTTCCAGCTTCCTACTTCCACCTTGTCCTTCCAGCTTCTTGCCCTCTTTGTTCTTCAAGCTTTCTACTACCTCCTTGCGCTTCCAGCTTCCTACTCTCTTTGTCTTCCAGCTTCCTTTCCTCATTATGCTCCAAGCTTCCCTCCTTCCCTGCGCTTAAAATTTCTCCTCCTTCTTGCAGCTTCCCAGCTTCGTTGTGGTTTCCATCGTTTTACTTTCATTGTGCTTCTAGCTTTCTTCCCTCAATCTGCTTCTTGCTACCAAGCCTCACTTCTCCATCAATAGTTACTAGTAATTATAGTAATTTGTACATTAAATAACGCTCAATCAAATTACACAAAATCAAACTTTATCCCTACTATGGAAAGGATCACTATTGTAACCCAGTTGCTAAACTTACACATATTTACCGTCCAACGAATGTATACTTGTACATTCTAGTTTTCAGCGAGTTATTTTAACATTTTCAATGCAACCCATTTTATAAACATAACCAGTAGAAACGCATTCCATTAGAACCTGAATGCAAGGGGATCGGTATGATTTTGACGTTCCTCGAGAGGAATTTCTTATTTTTATCACTTGTTTCCTATAACTTTCGTCAAGGTTTGGTGGTTCTCGAGACGATATTCGTGATCTTACACGTCAGATTTAAGGATAACAGCAAAGGTGTGTCGGCTAAAATCGGAAAATAAGTTAAATTTTTAGATATATACATTTACACATGTCAATCGGATGTGTCTTCTTCTCGTTAGTACAGACGATCAAGCCCCGCGCCATTCTGTGAAGAAGATTACCGTGTTAGCTTTAAAGTTTGAAATCGAAACTAATCTTCATTAGAATATCATTATTGATTATATTGAATCACTAAAACGACTTGTTTATGAATTCGAATATATCAGAGAAAGATACGGACTTAAACAATGATTATGACTTCGGAGATGATTGAAATAATTTGGTCTGAAAGTTTTAATTTTATTTGTCTGTAGCGGACCAGACTTGGCGGAACTCCATGGTCTATACACTTTGTGGTATTATCCTGTTTGTCATCGGTCTTATTGGTCACTTATTCCGAACATCAATACCGTGAAGATTTCGGCCAAGATAACTGTCAGTGGGCTGGACGTTAATTGTCCCAGACTAAGTAACCACAAATTGAATTGTAAACGAACCCATTCCAATTCTATTGAGTACATTCCTTTAAACACTATCTCATTTTCGCCAGAGGCAGAAATTTGATATGATTAAAATATATGTAGTTTAATATGAAAAATCGCTGATCAGTTATGCTTTACAGTAAATATTGAATCGTTTAAAACTTGACGAGATTTATGAATGGCGCCTGGCTTCCGTACAGTACAACTGCCAACAATGGTTAGGTTTAGCCGAGGAATTCGATCCCGGACTTTGTTGTTTTTTCATCAAGCACGACTGTTTCGAGCCGGTGACAGGTGGTGATAGAGAAATCTGTTCTCATCTGATTACCAGAGTATTTATTGGCGTTATCTCCACTAAATGTGACACCCATTCATTCTCCATGACTTAAGAAAACATGTATACACTTTAGCTGTATAAATAACAAACAATCGTTTTTCTTACTGGTGTGACACCTAAGAATCCAACATGATACAACTTTAATTACTTCTGACACCCAGTAAATGATCTGTCCCCGGTTTTATATTTCCTCTCGCTGTTTTGACTCCAGCCATAGGATCGCTACACCTCCCTCTGTTACTGTAATGTACTCTTGAGTCTGTCGATCCAGGGCGAGCTGTCAAAGTCAAAAAGTTTGCGGCTTTAAGTATTTTCCTCCAAGGACGCTGTTGGACTTAATATATGTAATTCACGTCATACATCTGAACATTATTTTACCGGTGTATGTAACTAACGCCATTAATTATTGTTGTACAAGTGACACGTGTCTGTGAAAAAGACGAAATAAGAAACGATGTATTTTAAAAAAATCCAATAAGACGCCTGCAGTCTAATGCAGACATGCACATACGTGGATGACCTATGTGGTGGATGGACTACTAATTAAATTAGCCCTTGATAAGGCAATTTCTACGATATCCTAGAAATGCATTGGTTGTAATGTACACATGCAAGAGAGTATCCATTCTGAAATTAGACGTTTTCAAATTTATTTCAACAAATTACCGTGCTGAATACTTCTTAGTAAACACCGACTAATCATCTCACACGCGTTCACAAAGAAAAAACACGATATCCAAATATTAAACAAAAACAAAAGCAGATTGACCAATCAGCGCTCGTTTGGTCAGGATCCTAAGTATCAAAGACGCTGCTAAGCAGGAAGAAATAAAATACCAAGGCATGTAATACAGTTTAACTACTCCAGCAGCGTTACCGGAACCGGATATGCTGACATTTGAAATAATGAGTGAGGGAATATGACAAAATCATATGGCTCCCGTCTCGATACGCCCTACTATACTACTATCAGTATCTGCAACTGACTTTATCGTTATATACAGAAACCAGAAAAAAATAAAATAAGGGAAAAATACAAATGGGTAAACAAACACAATTATCGAAAATAAATCGGTAGTGAGGATGAGTGATTCCTCGGGAGTACATACCACCTTTTCATCACCCATAAGTAACAACCCTTCTTGTATATAAATATATTTGTGATTTTTCTTCTTCCTATCTGAAGTTTGGTGCTACCCTGTTAATAAGAACTCCATGACAACTAACCTGTCGAATTAAACGTATAATAGTATTGATTGAACCAACACATGAAACATGTTTTCGAGACGTTTTATTGGGTGATTTATATGACGAATATATACAAATCGCTTATGTACAGAAACTATAGAACCGAGCACAACCCTGAAGGGGCATATCACGGATACATGTGGTCAGAAGAATGTCCTTATTATGGATAATATCATAGTGAAATACAAAAGATATATAACTATCCCATGTTCTTCTTTTTATATCAATGACATTCATTAATGAATGACGTTCCGTTTATTTATATTTCAACTAGATTTTATCTTTAATTTTGTCATGCTTCTGACCACATGTTCCTGTGGAGCAATAATGTACAACAAGGGCAATTTCCTCGAGATAAGATGTGGCGCTATACAAATATATAGCAACACTACAGGTATAACATCAGTACATGTTAATGTATCAACATACGTAATGTACATATACAGGTGAATAGTAATCAACCTACACAGAACAGGTGTAACAACCTACACAGTACAGGTGTAACAACCTACACAGTACAGGTGTAACGACCTACACACTACATAACATCAGCCTACAGAGTTCTCATCGTAAACAAATATATAAATGTATCTACTATTCAGAATACAAACTGTGTACGTAAACTCATCCATTAACTAAATACATATCACAATGAGACTCGCATTTATTTTAATTTTTAATTTTGATTAACAATTTTCACTGGCTTCTATTGAAGCAGCACAGTTCGGTAGTAAAACTGCCTAAATCGTATGATTGATTAATTGGAGATGTGACTTTTCGTCCTTACTCCCGGTTATTACCGAGTCGTGGACAACTTATAAAGTTATATCTCGTCCACAGGCCATAACAAATATTCCCTGGGTTCCTTGCGCTACTCTCCATTGACAGCAATGCATTCTGGGAGATCATGTGTCAATGGCGAACTCTGATGTACAATGAAACGAGGGGAGCTGATTTAAGAACCTTTCGCCGAATCATGGCTTGTATATTTTACATTTACTTAAAATGTGTCAAATAATAAATATATTAAATGTTATATATAATACAATCTGAACACTGAGGGACAAACATATAGACGAAACAAAGAACAAAAAGAGCACAATATTAAATCATCAACCGTTCCTAGTCACGTGGTTCCGTTCACGACCTTGTGGCGTTTTAGAAATAGTCGATTTTCATAAAATGTGAACAACGTGTATTTGTTTATCTCGATATTACGAGTTCATTTTTGTTGGTATTGGTATCACAATACCCTTGTCATCCTCGGTAACACGAGGCCTTTTTTGTAATTGTGAATATGTAGAGACAATAAGCACACACGAGTTCAGTACATTTTGTCAATATTGTCTTCATAAACGTTTTAATTCACAACACTTGTCATAAGCAAACTTGCTTTGTATCGAGCACAATTAACCGGTATTTTCACGGTCCTGTTATGACAGTTGTCCGTCATCCATCTAGACATTTGAACCGATCTGTCACAAATGGAGACACACACAGTCCTCAACACCAACCATGACTTTAAGCCTAGTCAACCATCATAACAACATCACCGATATATATATTTTAATTATATTTATAAATATAATTTATGCAAAATAGATAAATATATAAAGCATGTTGTATATACAGATGGTGGCTATTAATTCAAACAGAACGAAAATAATAGCGGCAGGAGAAGAGAAACTTAATTGCAGAAATGCATTTCCACAACTCGTGAGCACCTCTTACAGTCTATTCTACAACACCAGACAAATTTACAGTCACAGTTTTCCTTGATCTCCTTGACGATCGTATGGTAGCCACGCCCACAACACATGAGCGTGCAGCCGTCTAGGCCATAGCTGTCCTTGCTGCACTGTCGCCCGCGCGTGCCGAGTGACCCGTATTTGGCGTCGACATTACAATAATCCGGTGACTCCTCCAGATACACTAAGTCTTTTTTCGTCGGCTTTTTCATATCTATCGTTATCCGCTTTAACTTTCTGCGTTTCTTGTTAACCTTTACGAGACTTGCGCCGTCAAATTTAGCCTTCAGTTTGGCGCCAATTGCCCGGAAGCTCTTCATTTTCCGCCAGCAGATTTTCACGGAACATGTTGCAGAAACTCCGTGACATTTACAGAGAAGTTCCATTGACGTCTTAACAGTCTGGAAAAGAAGCGGAAATAAAAATCAGAATGATTGAAATTATATTTGAAATTAGATATAATCCAGACGTAATCTCACAAACTACTTTGTATCGTGTTTATCTTAACTATTTATGCAGTTTCTACCGTAAAAAGATAAAGGACTTATTTCATTTGTACTACATTTTGTTCTTGTGTTAATCTGACCACAACGTGTAGGACGATGTACGTCACGGTACTTACCCTTCTTCCAGCTTCATTGTTCCAGAGATTCATCAAACCGGACTCGTCAACGGTTTTCTCGTTTGCATCAACGAATTCCTTAGAAAATTTTGCCCCATATTTAGTGTTTTCTGAGCAGCCTCCCCATTCAAAATCTCCGCCTGCCTTCCGCCACCTGATTTTGTCGTCACAACCGCAGTGCTCGAGGTCCCCACGCGCACAGCCGCGCGTGACGCTATACATGACGCCGGCTGATGATATGGCGTAGATATAGGCCGTTTCTCGGCTTTCTGGAAGGGAAAATACGGACAGTTAGGTCGATATTGGTATAATAGACATTCGGGCATTAGACAAATAATGAATATATTCTGTGGCGATTTTTCACAGAGGCTGTAACGATACTCAGATTATTTGAATACATACAATTATGTTATATACTCATATCATTGTCAAATTGTAGATACAATGGCGTCTGAAGCAGGCGAGAGCATTCGTATAAGTTTGTTTAATGTGTACGTGGTGCTTGCTCCATCAAGTCATCTGATACGGTAGATTCTAATCCGAGCATTACTCTTTCCTGTTGGCATATATATATATATATTCGCTGTCACATTAAAGAATTTAAACCTGCATGTCAAGATATCTTATGATACATATAAATGTCAGCACTAAATGAAAAGACAGACATGATCGTTTTGGAAGATAAAGTATATAAGCGTGCTTATTGGTCTTGACAGTTACATAACCCACGGGAAATACATGGGATAAGCAAGTCACCTAGTCGTTAGGTTGGGACATGGAGTACGCACTATCTCGTCCACCCCGGCCCCACCATACTGGTGCGCAAGCCATTATATCAAGTAGCCATCCCCGTCACGCCCGAAACTAACTTATCGAACAGATTTTTGAAAATTAACAGTTACCAGGTAAATTAGTTGATCATGATTATTTATCCCAAAGTAACGGAATTCTCTGTTTTAATTTTGGTTCATAAGGTTATGTAAATAACTGATATTTTTAGAATATATAAATTTTTAAACACACGAAAACGGAAGCGATTGACAACTTGCAAATATAATTGTATGTATGCGGAGAACAAACAATGCAGCCCCTTCAACATAACCGTCGCTGCTCTCGTCACGCCAAAACAAATATAGATCTTAAGTTTTGTTGATTGGATGAGTTTTTTTCCTAAAAGTACAGGAAACTCTACAAAACAGTCCTTTGCGACAGGTTGATTGATGCACATCTATGTTACTTAGATAACGACTGCAATGCACGCGCAACCTGATGAACTGCCGCGTTACTTCCCGACACCACGTGTAATTGTTCGAGAGCGTGGAACAGTTCCGAGCCTATACGTGGAAACATGGCCCCGTCACAGAGCGTCACTGATCCACAGAGACATCGGATTAACAAACATAGATTAGTCTAAACATTCGTCCTGACTAATTTGAATCGAACACGAAAAAACAAAGATGCAAACGGAAGTTTGCACGCCACTACAAATCTCAATGGACCGAGGATGTAGGCCGATTTACGCGTGAATTGTGCGTTAAGTTACATGTACGTTGCTTTCTACTGGAAGGGAACTTAACTGTCCATCTAACAGAACTAAACTTTGTCAATATCTCTGAGTTTAGACAATCAATATGTACGTACATGTGATTTTAGCGCAATAGAATACAATAATAGCTACAAATGCTATGTTCTACATTTTGTTTCGTCACAACATCTTGGCCAATCCCATTATGGTTTTCGTCCAATACAAATAAATTCACAGGCATCGACCAATCAGGGGGTTATATAGTATACTTACTAATTCCGAGAACCTTGCCGAAGACACTGGTGTTGTTGTATGTGGAACAGTTCCAGCGGCGGGCGGAGAACTGGTGTTGACATTCCGAGATACCCATGGACGCTCCCTGGCTGACTACATTAAGTAGGCGACTCTCGTGCTCACACAACTCCTTCTGGCGAGGGGTGAGGAAGGCCAGGTTTGAACAACGGGATCCCTGATCCGACTGTAGTTTTGGAACCACTTGTTCTGCTGGTGGCGAGTTGCTGGTCGGGGAAGAACTCAGAATTGCCAGATACCTGAAAATATAGGAACAGCAAAAAATGTTGAATGTTACGTTCTGTACAAAATTCTACAGGCTATTAATCACTCAATCAGTTAAGAGCAATGGTTCCGAAAGAAAAAAGCAAGCTTGCATGTGTCGATTTTATGGGTGATAAACTAAGTTGGTATAGAGGCAAACTCAATTAATTTGTTTTAATACCAACCAGTTCATAAGATCTACCAAAGCAACTATCTCTTCCTTATAACCCGTTCGTTTGTTGATACTCAGTGTTAGTTTACCGTTAGACAATATATCTACAGGAGCTGTTGCAAGTCTACTTGTACATTTCATGTTAAAACAAAGCATGTTGGAATAAACTACAGTATTCTGTCAACAACATTTAATTGAACGAAAGTATAGTATAGGTGTATTTTATCATGTTAGTATTGCTTTTCTCAATAAATAAATACTAAAAAGAACTTTCACAAATGCAGAGGTTTCATATTGGCTACCCGGTGGGAAATTATACACTAATTTCATACCCAGAACCAATGTTAACCTGGTCAAACAATCGGTAGTTTTATAAAGTCTAGCTTGAGATATGTTTCAATTTAACTTCTACATTCTTCACAACATTGTTTTTCAATACTCCATGCGATATAACTACATGTGCATTAGAGGACTGGGAAAAATCACGGGTATAGATCTGACGTTTTGGTATAAGCACTACATGTGCAAGAAAGGACAGGGAAAAATCACAGGTATAGGTCTGACGTTTTGGTATAAGCACTACATGTGCAATAGAGGACTGGGAAAAATCACGGGTATAGGTCTGACGTTTTAGTATAACACAACCGTTACTGGTGGTATGCACGCTAAAGATGGCAAGGTTAAGTAATATTACAAGTCGAGACGTGACAAAATGGAAAGGTTTTGATGACTGGAACTCGGGTGGTCAAACAAAACACGCATAAATTACCCAAACATTCCTTAACTAGCATCGTTGGCGAAGAACACAAGATAGCTACCAGACAATGCTGACACTTCAGATGAAGAAATTGTCTATTTACTTAATTGATTAAATTGTTTGACATTTAAGAACGCCGTACCTTGCGTTTTGAGTAAGAAACCTATCCCGATATCGCGAGACTACAGACCAAACAAAGCGTGGAGGAAGTTGGAGCGGTGTCAATACGGGAGTGTGAATGCTCGTTTACTCTGTCATTGAAACGCTTGTTCTGTACGGACGGACAGCACGGCGTATCATTCCACACTTAATCTCGTTTATTTAAATCTTGAAATAAATTGGATTTAATGTATTAAGTACCAATGTGCACGTAACGGTTGTAACGGTGGGCTTTTGTTATCGGATCGACGATGTTCTGGTCTATTCTAATTCAATTATACTAAAGTGTTATCGCGTTTAGACATTAGAAAAAGGGTACTCTAGGTGTTAAACGTATTCTATGGTAATTGTCTTATTTACAGATAGTTTAAACATTTTTAAAGACAACCTACCAGACAGTGGGTGCTATAAAATCTCTCAACTTAGACAATGGAACACTACTCTTATTTCACGGGAACGGCTGTAATAAAGGTTATTGGTTCAGTTTGATGCCTTGAAATGCTGAAATGCGTGACGACTTTGACAAAACATAACCGTATCACGTTATGCTTTACCTTTTAATTGCAGTCAGTGGATCGACACACACGTAGTTTATGGACCCGAAACAGATGGCTTCTCTGTGTATCAATGAGATAATTTTCACCATTCGACTTCGGAAACTTCACAAGAGCACGCCCCGTTCGGGTGTAAAACAATACCTAAGTCATGCGTGACGTTCTCTGACTCCCGGCGTAACGATATCATACGGCCATCAAATAGTCCGACGTAGATCTCCCCGAAACAACAGCTAAACTCATGCCAGCTCTACTCTGACCCGTGGCAAAGACCGGAAAATGGATCCTCTCCGAATTCGATAGATAAAATATACCACCTTCAAAGATATATCGAGTTACCAAGGCGAGAAGGGGCGGGGGTGAGATTATCAACTTTGGGATAGGTAGGCTATACCTGACAGTGACAGCAACAACAGTTGTTTAAACCTTAATCGTCACAACTACAACAGAACCTGCACGTTTTGTCTTTCACGGTTGCAGAATCGTGAACACACCTATATTCTGCTAAACGGTATCTTATTAATGACGTAATTATATGTTTGATATTATTTATCTATTATTTTATTTTGACAAGAGAGTCATGAACGTGAACACACGCACGTATTCAATGCAGGATGATCTAAACTGTTTGTTTACAGTCTATTACGATTGTAGAGTTATGCTCGTATATGTCCATGCACTCGTAATTGACGACTCTCTCCTTTTTATCGTAACAATAAGTACTTTACATTAAAACGTCGTTTGTCTTGTAGGGCTTGTAAAATCTGGCAATTACAAAGAGAAGCAACAAAAATATTCTTCGCTAAAGGAGAGCCATGAATACGTCTACGTGATCAGCTGTGTACTGGCTGAGCGGTAGTTGTTTTACTCTATAGGTACTACCTAGAAAAATAAAAAACAAATGTATTTGTGTTCTACACGATATATGGTGTAACGCCGTGAAGGAGTCCTGGGAGGCGCGCGACTCCTTAAATAGACTGTTATAGAGATACGGGCAACACCATAAATAAAATCTTAACCTATAGAGAAGACGAAGAAGTTGACATACAGACCTGGATTAATGACTACCAGAGGCTCATTGTAGGCAAAACATCTCGTATGTAGAACGTTTGATTAGCACATGAAGTTTTAAGACGGTATATATTTCGATACATTTTCTAATATGCAGTCAATATGAACGCATTGCTAAGTGCATAACTTAGTTTATGAAACATATAAAATGAAAAATATATCGTTATATATATATGTGTTTCATTCCTTAGATCGCTTCGACAGAAAATTGACTGTCTGGGCCACACTTATGCAGTGTTATGCTGTGCTATTGTATAACGTACACGTATGTGACCATGTGTTTGTAGACTGTCTGTTTGACCTTACGCCAATGGACTTGTACTACCCTAATCGCTACATAGGACATCTGTCCACCTCGAAGTCGTGCGAGTGAAGGCATTTCAAGATAAATTCTTTGTGAGGTCGAAATGGACTAAAGCATACGACTAAGCCGTTAAAACAACCTCTTTCAGATTAACGTTATACAGAGTACATGCCTAAGCTCATAGGGAAACATGAATCTATTCCAAAAGATAAAACCTCCAATGGCCTATATAGATAAGTGCTCTTAAAAACGAAAGCTGATTACTAGATCGAGAAAGAACATCAAAATTCTTGTTTCGTGTCATTTAAGTAAGATTCGAGTACAATTGATCTTTTTACCTTCATGTAAAAAGAGTGCTTCGCGTCTTCCAATAGCGCCCTCTTGACCTTCCCGTTTGTTTTTGATCTCCAGTTTCAATTGATAGAGCAGAGGCTTTAGTTTGGAGAGGCCTTAAGTTTAAACTTATTTTACGTGGCTTTGAATAACTTGGAGTAAGTGATAAAGGCAAACCACAAAGATGTCTCTTCCTGATCAAATAACCACCCCAGTTCGCAACGGTGTACGGTTAGTAAATTTACAGGTAAAAAAACCGCTCTTAAGTCAGTGATCTTATTACTGAACAGGAATTACACATACCAAAAACAGGAATTACACATACCAGAAACAGGAATTACACATACCAAAAACAGGAATTACACATACCAAAAACAGGAATGCGCTGATTTACAACTGGAAACAAATACATAATGGTAATAGAAATATCACTAATGTGTGACAGGATTTTTTCTTTGAGGAAACAGTGGCTACATATATTATAGCCCTTGCTACTATCGGGGAGGGGAAACGGTCTTGGCTTTGATCGTCAGTAAGAGGTTGGACCTCTTTATTTGAGTTTATCGTATGTTCGTCAGTAAGAGGTTGGACTTCTTTATTTGAGTTTATTGTTGGCAGTACTACACGACTTCTACATGAACCAGTGTTAAAAAAAAGATTGCTATAATATAATCAACCAACTAGTCATACAGGCTAGCCGTTATCGAACCCCGTCTCTAACGGGAGTAACGCTACAACTCGATATAAACCTTAACACTAAATAATGTAAAAATTCTCATTTTCTTTTTCGCCCTTTTTTATTGTTTATATGAGTTTTTATGTTGATCCTTGCCTGTGTTAGCAGTAACTCTTTTTCCACTCGGTTTCTTGTTTTTGTTGTAAATATACTGTGACTGGCGTTCATACCGCGTTACCTTAAACCTCTGATGTCCAACCCAATCAGGCGGTGGAAGCGGAAGTGGTAATTCAGTTTGACATTTATCGTGTACTTGCACCTGCAAATTTTTCTCCTGAAAAGAGCAGGCGTATTATTTGCGAACGATTTCGAAATCGAAAACATCATGGGTATTTTAATGTTTTTCAAATAAAAAGTTTAAAATACGATAATAAAACCGATGTTTTCCATTTAAAATATGCGAAGTACAATTCAATTGTAATGGTACACTTGAACTACATATCAACGTAGCTACCATGGTGAGAGAAGGATGAACCCCTATCCTATGACGTAGCTACCATGGTGAGAGAAGGATGAACCCCTACACTATCAACGTAGCTACCATGGTGAGAGAAGGATGAACCCCTACCCTATCAACGTAGCTACCATGGTGAGAGAAGGATGGACCCCTACCCTATCGACGTAGCTACCATGGTGAGAGAAGGATGAACCCCTACCGTTTCATTAAATAAGATTGACGAGGAAAATTTTATAACTGAAACTTGTAGTTCCTCCTTACATGGTAAAAAGCCCATATGAATTATGAAGTTAGCATTGCTTGCATATTGTTCACATTGCCTGCGTATCGTCCGATAACGTTTAGATATGTTAGCATTTTTCTCGGTCTCTTAAGAGAAGAAAGATGATGAAGAACAGGTGGAAGATAATTTGTTTCATTGATTTGATCTGACATAAAGCCTTGCAAAGTCTC